TTTAAAGAAAACATAAAGCATCATTCACATTCATTTTTCAAAACACTGTATCAACTTCATCCCAATACAAAACCCCAAGATCAAACATATGAACTCCAATGTGCGTGTGTATGAGTCATGCCGGCGCCTTCCCGCGATCATCGTTTGTACCTGAAACACCACACATAACACTGTAAGCATAATTGCTTACTGAGTTCCCAAAAATACCAAATAAACACATATCAACCACTCAAGACTGTAAATCTGCTGACCCTCTGGTCGAATATCTCCGTGGGACCCTCTTGGTCCCATAACTCTGTGGACCCACTGGTCCTAACTCTGTAAACTCTGAATCATGAATATCACATATCACATATCACAATAAATCACAACACATAGTAACATGCAAATACACTGGCATATAACTCTAAAATACTCTGCCACATAATTCTATTACCACACTAGGTAAAGTATAGTGAGAAGACTCACCTCAGATGTCTCTGACTCACTGAGTTATTTCCCAATTACCATATCTTCATTGCCACCCCTAATCCCCCTCTGACTCACTGAGTTATTTCCCTAACTTGGCAAGTCTACTCACTGAGTGATTTACGGGAAACCCTAAACCTACTCGTCGAGTTGTTCTTCAGACTCGACGAGTTCATGCCATGCATAAACTCCTTTGACCTCCTGAGGTCAGATCTGTTCCTTAAATCCATAGATCTGACCTTCCCAAGCATGATAATCACATAAAGTTCAGACCTTGACACTCATATAACATCTAGATGGTCTCACTTGGTGATTTAGCCCCATAAATAACATCCTAAGCTCATGGCTCCCAAAATAACTCATAAAGCTCCAGGGGTTAAGGTCTCTGGACCTCTTTGAGTCCGGATCCAAAGCATAAAATCGAGAAGGGACCAATTGCTCCACTTATCCATCCTCTAAAGGGGTTAGAAAACCCTAACTCTAAGAATCAACACCAAATCTGAAGAAGGTCCGAATAAATACCTCAAGATGAAGTCTATGAACTCTGAAGTCACCAGAATCGCACCTCCCTCAGCGTCCTCTTGCCATGGTCACCTCCTTCTCGCAATTACACCAACAAAATGATCAAGAACGAACTCTCCTTCCTCACAAACGCTCTAGATCTCTTAGGGTTTCTCTCTGGGGTTTGGTAGCCGCAAATGATGGCCCTAAGGGCCTTTAAATAGGTCCCAAACCCAAGAAATTAGGGTTTCATCAAACAGCGTGGACTCGCCGAGTCCACTCATGAACTCGTCGAGTCCAGCTGTGAACCCGGATAAGAATCCGCGAACATACTCGATAAGCTTAAACACCAACTCGCCGAGTCCCCTCCCAACCTCCAAAAATAAAGGAATAAAATAATATACCTGAAAATCCGGGTGTTACAGAACAAGTTCCAAATCCACCCTTTTTTCCATATTTGAAAGGATCTGGAGTGACAAGAAAAGGAGTTGAGTTTCAAAGAAGTCCCAACCACACCAGTTAATAATCTGGTTGAGCAAAGTCGAGCCAACAACTTTAAAAATGGGTGGCTTTCCGGGAGGCAACCCGATGATTACTTTTTAGTTTTTATTCAATAAAGAGATGGTCGCAGTTACAAGCAAGCTTGGGGAAATCAGAGGATCTTCAAAGTTGCTGAAATCTAGATTGTTCGCCACATCTTCATCAAAATCAGATTTCTGCAACTTATCAGGTACATTCATTTCTAGCTGCACCTTTTTGCCCTTGTATTCTTTATTGAGTTGTTCATTCCTCTCTAAGCATTGAGGACAATGCATCATTTTAAGCTTGCAGAGGGGGTTAGTGTAAAATTTTGCATTTTTGTTTAAAATGTTAATTTTTCAATTTTTTTTAGTTAAATTTTTCAAAATTTTCTTTTTGCATTTTATTTTAGCATTTCATCTACATATAAAAAATTCCAAAAAATTCCAAACAAAATATTTTATTTTACTGCATTCATAAATAAAAGAACAAAAAAAACCAAAAATATTTTTATTTCTAGTTATTTTTTATTTTCTGCAATAAAAAATCAAATTAAAAATCTTTAAAAAATATATTGCATGAGATGATGATATTTTTTTTACATTTGATAGCTCTGTTAAGATGAAATGTGATAGTTACCAAAAATAACGGTCTAATTACAATAAATTTTAAGAATTATCTTCTCAAGTGTTTTAAATGTTTTCAATATGAACCAACATATGAGTCATATTGTTTTTACAATGGAAGTGTGGGATGGAAGAACGAACAATGTTTTGAAAATAATTTCCTTGAATGCCTTAAAAAGAACCTAGATTGGATAACCCTTATCATTCCTTGAAGTACTGAACCCTATAGTTTATGCACCTTTTAAGGTTAGGAGGGAACTCATGTTATACCCACAATTTATTATCATTTTTGAAGTATTGAAGATATGGTGGGCCCCAAAGTAAAATTCGCGCCCAGTCAATATATATGTTAGAAATGGTACATCAAGAAACGTGAAGAAATCTGAAATTCAAAGTTAAATCCAAGTCAAGTTCAAGTCGAAATCAAGAACCAAGCAAGTTAAATCTAAAGAGTTGATCAAGACGAAGAATATGTGTGGTATAATGAGATTGATCCCTCGATAGTGAAATCGTAGGGGTAAGCGTGGATTGTTTGTCCATAATGGAGCTTAACGCGTTTACTTGACGAGTTCAAAAAAAAGGAGGGGTTGGTCAAGCTATGTTTTTATAAACGAATTTTCGTGAAATTATTTTTAAAAATACACTGTTTTCACAAATTTAATTTGGCGTAAAAATTACTTGCTAAAGCTTGGTTTAACTTATTAAATATAATTATGAATCGTTAATATAAAGTATTGAGAGTGTTATCTAGGTAGTGATTTCATTGGAGCTTCCTCGTTGTGAAATCTGATCATGTGACAAAAAAAAGTGTGAATTATTTTAGTTTAAGTTTTTATTTTCCTTTATTTTATTCTAAGTTATTTTTATGTCATCTACATCTTTCCATTTGTTTATAATGTTTTATCTTTTTTTTTACTTGAGGGCAACTAAGGGTTAAGCTTTGGGAGATTTGTTAGATGTCATTTTATGCATCTTATAGGGTAGGTTTCATTAGCATTTAGGATCATACTTTTTACATTTGCATGTAATTTATTTAAATAATGCTCAGCTCATGTATTTTGTTAGAATTCTCGTACTGCTCATGTTTTTATGTCAATTTCAGATAGTTCGAGTGGAGCAGTGCTTTGGGAGCAGTTGGATGTGCGTTTGGAGCATAAAATGGAGCTTGGAACTTATGGAGTATGTTGCGGAATGATTGGAAGATGCTTTGGTCAAGAAAAATTCGATCGAATTGATCACACGAAGATAGAATGTGCAATCCGAAGTTAAAGGATGTTGTTGGCAGCTTTGACCCATGTCAGTATTTTAACCATATCTCGAGAACCGTAACTCCGATTGATGCGATTCAAAATGATCTGGAAAGTAGACAAAATTTTAGAAGTCTTAAGCACAACATACGATCGCATGGGGCTTTTATGCTATCGCAGGTTTGGTCGCAACTTGTCTTCGAGGTTTTTTTGTGCCAAAAATTCATCCGGAAGTGAAAACTCAATACATGCGAGCACAGGTTGTGTACATGTGATCGCAGGTTGGCCAAAATTTCTCGAAATGGTATTCTACTTCATTAAAAGGCCCGTGAAGCGTTTTCGGTAAAGCATGTGATCGCATGCGCGTCGTTTTTGTTGTTGGACGTATAAATAGACCCTGACAGCATTCCAGTAACCTAAGTTGGCGATTCCAGAGGTACGAGACGACGAAAATACGATTTTGAAGGTGTTTCTTCTCCGATTTGAACGATTTCTGTAGATCTGAAGACTGTGGATCATCTCCTCCAAGTAGATTAGTAAGATTAGTTGTTTGATGTCTCTTTTCATCTGTTTTGATCATATGGGTAATTGTTGGTTTGATGTAGAAATTGATGTTATGAAACGAATTTAGCGCCTTGTAGGAGTTAAGGCACATGAAGTTTTTTAAAAACATGAAAGAACATGGATGAAACATACTGAATTCCCTACTAGAACTTTAAAAGGTATGTGTACCTGTTGCCTATTAATTCAGCTGAAATCCTGGAGAAATATTTGCTAATTGATGTCGTTTGAGTTGGTATATAACTATATAAGTTGATAGCTGATAAGCTTGAAGTAAAAAATTTTGAGTTTGGCTTGATAATGAAGAAACGAGACAACTTTACTGCTAGTTAAATGTTCTAGTTGTGAGAGTCCACGGTCATGCGATAAACAAAACAATGGATTCTTAATTAATGATATAACAATGAAAATCGAACTCACATAAATTTAACTGAAACCAACATAGTTTAAACCTAAAACACACATGCAGCTTAATGGTAAAACAAACTCAAATCCCTTGAATTGAAGCTCTTCTTCATCTTCTCCTTTCCCTGATACCTCCTAAGATACATGATGATTAAGTTTTATGCAGCTAAATTCGTGGGTTTTATCTATACAAAATACCACACCCACAGGCATAAAATGTTTGTTTAAGAAAACATGGTTATAATATTGATTTCTACAAAATACTTTAAACATGTACTATACTATAATATTTTTTGAAAACAAACATGGCTTTCATTAACATCATGATAAACAGATTGTAAACAAATAACATGGTGGAACATAGACCGATTTCACATAACTAGATACATAACAAATCTAACTTAAAATACAAAATATTTTTTTAGTATCTTATACTTAAAATATTTAATAATACTTTCATTGCTAAAATGCCTATATGGTTTGAATAAACTTTAAGAAAAATTTGAGAAACATATGTATAAGAAAATATCACAGATATTTTGTAAAGGTTGCTTTAAAGCAAAAAATAAAAATAAAAAAATATGTATATTTTAAGAGTATTATATTTTTCTGAATGACTTTTAACACACAACAAAAATCAAATTAGGTTGAGGGGTTGAGAATATATGCACGTTTAAGGAATTGTACCTTGGTTTTTCCTTGTGTTACTAAGTGGCCTCACCCATATGTCCTTCCTCTTTGTGAACCGATCACTATACCTTTCATATAGAATGTTTCCAATAACAACCCCAACAACCAGCCCACTTCCAACTCCACAGAATACAAAGATCCAATCAATTGTTTCGTTTGGGAGGAGAGAGTCAGACTCAGATATAGACATACTGCTTACTGGTGGAACCGTTGTCGCCTTTGAACCTTTACATTCCTTGGATAGAGGTTCTCCGCACAATCGTGGATTGCCCATGTAGGAGTCATTCTCAAATGTATCAAATTGCTTCCCATTTGGTATGCGCCCATCAAGATGGTTGAATGACACATTGAAAATGGAAAGAAAGTTGAGTTGTACAAATTGCTGAGGAATTTCTCCAGATAGCTGGTTTTGGGAAAGATCCAAAGATTCAAGATTCTTCAGGAACCCCAAAGATGGCAAGACACGTCCACTAAAATGATTGTTGGAAAGATTGAGTGATTCAAGGCCTCGAAGATCTTGGAGTGATTGTGGGATTTCTCCTTCAAAATGGTTACAACAGAGATCAATAGCGGTGAATATGGTTAGAATCTTTTCGTACTCTGTTCTGACACCTTTGTGTATTATTGTCATACTGTAACTGAATATACCGGTTAGGTATGTATCAGTTGTACCGGACGGTTTGAAGGAAATTTCTGATTCCATAACAGACGACTCACCACCATAAACTGATCTCATGGCATTCCATGTTTGGAAGTACTTGGGGTGCAACTGACCATTAAAGTTGTTGTTAGAGAGGTCTATGATCCGCAACTTAGGGAACTGTGAGGAAACAGTTGTCGAAGATTGAATTGGACCATAAAATTTGTTAGACCGCAACATGAGAATTTGCAGGTTGGGAAGATTTCCCAACCAAGAAGGAAAGCCGTCATGGAACGAGTTATCTGCAAGATTGAGAAACTCTAAATTGGTACAATTTGTCAACGATCTTGGTAGCTCACCCGTAAATTGATTTTTGCTCAAATCAATATATTCCAACAGGCTACCATGCATAAACTCATTCATCATTATGCCCTGAAAGTTATTTATGCTCAGATCCAAAAGCACCAACGAATTGCTTAACTTACCCACACATGGAGGAAGATGTCCACTCATGTTGTTAGACGTCAAACTTAACGCTCGAAGAGATTTCAATTCACATATCAATGGTGGTATTTCTCCTGTCAGATTGTTATTTGAGGCTAAATAAACAACTGTGGTTTGTGGTGGAATAGGTAGCTGCCCTCGTAACTGATTATTCTCGATATCAAATACTTGTAAATGCCTCCATGGTAGAAATTGAGGATGCTGATGAAATCCGGTGATGGAGTTGTTGGAAAGATCAATCACATGTAATGTTTCTTTGCTGTTATTCCAGATCCACACGGGTACCATGCCATCAATCTTGTTGCTGTCGAGAAATAAGATTTCCAATTTATTTTGGAAACGCAAAAAGGCAGGGAATTCCTTCAAGTTACATGATGTCAGTGATAGGTGTTTAAGTTCTGGTAAGGTGCTATTGGTGTAGTTGTTGGTGGGCACTAATGATATCTTGTTATTACCTAAGTTAAGAGTTTCGAGTTTGTTGAGTCCTAAGAATATGTCTAAGTCTACACTCCCACTGAAATTATTGTATTCAAAATCAAGAAATTGAAGACGTTTCAAGTTGGAAAATGAGCTTGAAATTTGTCCTTGCAAGTGATTTTCTTGAAGGTCTAGCTTTGCTAGTTGGGTGAGGTTGAAAAGCCAGGTTGGTATATGACCAGTAAAAGAATTTGTACCCATGCCAAAGCACTAAGTTTGGTTAGGTTTGCAAGAAAGGCTGGTATTTCACCATTTATGTCCATATCCCATACAAGCAGTTCATTAAGTTCAGCCAGCATGCCAAACCAGTTAGGCAAGAATCCCTTATCAAATCTGCTATCACTCAGCTCTAAAGTCACGAGTTTCGAAGGACTTACCAATGAAGGAACAAAGCCTGTGAACTTATTCCTTCCAAGACCCAATATAGTGATTTGTGTCATGTTAGAGATTGAACCTGGAATATGCCCTGAGAAAGAGCAATCATTAAGGGACAAGACTCTCAAATGGTTTAGATTGCTTAAGGATTCTGGTACAATCCCGGAGAAATTTGTTGAACGTAGATTCACAAATTCAAGTAAGCTGCTGTTACGAAATTCACTAAAGGCACCTGTGAGGTTTGTATTGAATGACAAATCAAGAATTTTCAACTTCTGTAGCTGAAAAATGGCTGCAGGGAATTCATCTTGAAGCAAGCAGTTTTGTAGCATGACTGACCCTAGAGAAGAAAAGTTTGCCAAGAAATGAGGTACAGAAGAACTAATGTCAACACCTGAGAGATGGAGTTCTTTGATTCCTGTTAAGTTTTGCACTAGGTTCTTGAAGCCACTGGGACTTTGAAGCTTTAGAAGATTCTGTGATAGATCTAAAGAAGACAATTGTATCAGCTGAGAGATTTCATTCGGGATTTGGCCACTAAACCTAGAATAAGAGAGATTGAGGCTTCTTAATTGATTTAGATGACCAATCTCAGATGGGATTTGAGATTCAACAAAGTTGTTCATGGCAAGGTTAAGGTGTTGAAGGTGAACAAGGCTGAAGAGGGTGCTGTTAGAGTTGATATGCCCGCAAATAGATCTTTCGCTCAAGTCAAGGCCGATGACATGACCATATTCACGGTCGTCATTTCCACACTCCACCCCATACCACGAACAACAATCAAAAATAGTATCTGATGTATTGCCTGTGGGCTTCCAAGTGTGAAACGTTTGAAACCAACTAGCGGTGCAAAACGCTTCATCATCTTGATGAATTAAGCTCTGCTTAAACTGAAACAAGGCTGAGCATTCCTCATCATGGCTTAGGGATGATCCAATGCAGGTGATCAGTGTGAAAAAAAAGTATAAAAGGGAGATGGTTTGTAACAAGCTGAGGTGATTCATGTATGGAGCCATGAAAGAAAGGTTTGATACTTCAGTTGTTTGGGGATCTGTAATATTCAATGTTCAATGTTCATTATATATAGACGATCTCCAAGTTTAATTCTTTATGGAACCAATAAAATGTATTTGAAGAGTCAACTAACAGACCCAAAGAAAAAAAATTCCACCAGAAGAGAAAAATATGGACTAAATATAATGAAGCAAGACTTTGTTTCTTTGCGTCTTAATAATAAAAAATTACATTACTTTAATGATCTATATTAGTATTATTTTTTTATTTTTTGAAATTAATACAAGTTGGAATGTCAATAGCAACAGGTTATTTTTGTTATGTTTTTAGATAATTTAGTAGAGCAGAGAGTTCAGTATTTTTTGTATGTCTGTAAAGTGTTCTTCGGATAAATGATTTTGTTTGAAGTGTTCTATAAAAAGTTATTTCTTTTTTAACTAAATAAAAGATCTAAATGATAGTAAATGTCCGTTTTTCTTCTGTCTAAAGGGAAGTGAGGTATAAGCATGTTAAACATGATATAAAAAGGTGTTAAACATGATGGTATGAATTGGTCAAATTGGGTGGGGTTTGCCTGCATGTTGATATAAGCATGTTGAGAATTTGCCAACCACCCTACATGTTTTATACAAGTCCCATGTATACTTTCCCAACCGAGATGTTAAATAAACGCCTTGAACCGTGTTCAATCATCTAAGTTTTAAAGTTTACATAAAAATTAAGAAAATAAACTTATTTTAACAATTTCTTGCATGGATTGTAGGCGAAAGATTTAGGGAACTTGTTCAAAACTCATGGACCATTGCTCGATATTTACCTAACAAATTATGACAAATTAAGAAGGTGAATAAACAAGGTAATACTTTTGGTTTTCCTAGATTCTTGAATATTGTTGATTCAGAATCTTTTGTCCTTTATCTCGAAGCTTAATTTGATATATATTGAACGGGTCCTGCATTCTAATGTCATATTTCCTAGATCCACAAATGTTGTTTTCAAAAGAATTGGGTTTGTCATCCAGAAAGAGCTAGCGGCGCAGCTTTTTGCCCGTTTGTCTTCAGTAGATATGTATTGAACTATATTAGTTTGAAAATATCAATCTATCATTTATATTGATCGTGAACTATAAATTGTTTTACTTTGTTGCTAAAGTTAGGATAAATACTAAGAAGTCCATACGCCCAACCATTCTCATACCACCTCATCACCACAACCTAACTGGCACACCTAAAAAAAGAGAAAGAAGAGGGTTGACGAGCATAACAGAAATGGTGGCAATGAAGATATGGTGAAAGGGAACAAGTTATCAAGAAAGGAAAATTTTGTAAAATGTTCTTAGTGTAACAGCTTTGGATATAATGCTAGAACATGTAAAAGGCAACATCCAGATGCCAAAGTTGGAAAAAAAATAAAAAATAAAAATAAAAAGATGTTGCAATTGGAGGTCGGAATAAAGCTAGTACAACGGTTGGTGGTAAGAATATCTTGTTCTCTCTCCCTCTCCCTCTCCCTCTCTCACGCTTTACCCTCCAACGACCATGTAACTCTGTCGATGACCACCGCCTATAATGGCCTTCGAGATCATGATTCATGAAATATTCACCGCCGTTTCCTTCCTTCCTCCCGTCGTCGCCTCGTCTACGGATTGTGTCAGCTAGCCAATGAAAATTAGATTGGTGTCGACGATCCTAAACGATTGTGTGGCTTATCATTTCATCAAATAGATAGGAGATTGATTGAGAGGGGGATATAGAGAGGAAAATATTAGAAACCTCAATTTTGAAGGTCTGCGCTTCTATTCATCCAATCCTCGATTGCCTCTGTAGTGACACCGATGCTTTCTTCTTCACCGTTAGGGATAGTAGGAGCGATTGAACTTACAAGCAACGCTAGGTATTTATGTGTTCGCATATCCAAATTTTTTGTTCGCTTTCTTCGATTGATAATTTTCCCAAATTCAACAGTTGTTTTTGAGTTGAGCCAACTAATTTTCATCTGAAGTGGTTTCCTTGAGGGCACTTTATGAATCAATGCATATAACCACGGCATGCCATCATCATTATATGCAAACCAAACCTGGTAATTTTGAAATGAATTTTCCATCCAATCTGAATCAAAATTATGAAAGTAAGGATCTGGAACACTCATTTCAGGCTCTTCATCATGTATATTTATCAGGTTCCACTTATGCTCATGTGAGATTACTCTAGTATTATGCATTTATCATTTGAATTTGATACACACTTATGCTTGTGTCATATTTAAACTATATGTTATGTTTCATTGATTAAATGAGGGTTAAAGGTGGATGTAGTTGGCTTTATAGATAATGATATTTTGTTGATGGATAAGACATTTGGTTTTGATATTACTGTAAAGGAAGCACAAAGAGCCATAAATTCAGCATACATTGAGATGCATTTATTAGTATTCTTATCATACATCATACATACTTATAAAGCTAGCATTTTTCCTTAAACCTCAAGCATTTGAAACCCCATAAAAATTTGCAAACACCTCATGCATTTGAAACTACCTATTTTAATGAAAACCACTCAAAAGTCTCTTAATAATGATTAACAGTTCAAAGGTTTTATAACTTATATAATATATTTAATAAACAATTAATGGATACTCTACTTTGAAAAGGTCAATCTTTTTTAGTAGATACACAAATACAAATCACATACAAAATTCACAAAGAAAACAAGTTTAAAGTTTTTTGTGTTGGTTTGAGGGCTTTGAACAATTTTTCAAGTCATGTGATTATGTTGAAGTTTTTAATTTGTAAGTTTGTTATATAATAATTCTTTTTGTATTTTCTTGATTTAAGTATTCTTTTAAAAATATCATTGTATGTTGTGGTTGAATTTTAATGTAAATTAGATTAGATTCATGTTATCGATCATATATTATGGAAGGTGATATATATAATATTTAATTAACTATTGTATACATGTTTGTATGTTCATGTTGCTTCAAAACAATAATTAATTAAAAATCATGGATATATCATATTATCCATATAACCCATTTTTAAAATGCAAATTGTCTATCTTATCACTTTATATTTTAGTACTAGACGAATTCCTGCGCGTTGCGCAACGAAAATTAAAAATATATTGTTAAAATATTGAAAGACATATGTTTAAAATGGTTATGTTATTGACATTAACTTTGAGATAATATTTTTACAATAATATATATATATATATATATATATATATATATATATATATATATATATATATATATATATATAATCTCTATTATTTTGAACAATAATATTCATTAACATCAACCCACATTCCTCATTAATAGAATTAAATATAATTATCTATTTAATATTATTTTTAACAATTATTATTATTGATTAATTATATTTTTACTTATGTGATCATTTTCTAATTTCAATAATGATGTTCAATTAAAATACAATTTATTTATATCTAAATGTAATTTATAATTTGATGTTATTATCATTTAAAATTGTTATTAATTAACTTTAAACCACTTATTATTAATAATAAGTTAAAGAAGAATTTTAATAAACACTTAATATTATTATTAAAATGTGAAACATACACTAAATAATAAATTGATAAGATAGACACTTTGCATTTCAAAAGAGACTTGCATGGATAATATGACATATCCATGTAATTTGATTTTATTATTTATAATTATTGCTTATTAATTTTAAAACCAATTTTTATCATTAATAAGTGAAAGAAACTTTTAAAAAACACTTATTAGTATAATTAAAATGTTAAACATATACTAAAATATAAAGTGATAAGATAGATAATTTTCATTTTAAAAAAAGCATATATGGATAATATGGATAATATGACATATCCATGATTTTAATTAATTATTGTTTTGAAGCAACATGAGCATACAAATATGTATACGATAGTTAATTAAATATTATATATATCTTCTTCCATAACATATGATCGATAACATAATTCTAATCTAATTTATATTAAAATTTCAACCACAACATACAATGATATTTTTAAAAGAATATTTAAATCAAGAAAATACAAAAAAGAATTAGTATATAACAAACTTACAAATTAAAAACTTCAACATAATAACATGGCTAGAAAACTTGTTCAAAGCCCTCAAACCAACACAAAAAACTTTAAACTTGTTTTCTTTATGAAATTTGTATGTGATTTGTGTTTGTGTGTCTACTAAAAAATGTTGACATTTTTATAGTAGAATATCTATTAATTGTTAATTAAATATATTATATAATTTATAAAACCTTTAAATTGTTAATCATTATTAAAAGACTTTTTTGTGGTATTCATTAAAATAGGAGGATTCAAATGCATGAGGTGTTTGCAAATTTTCATGGGGGTTTCAAATGCATGATGTTCAATGAAAAAGGTTAGCTTTATAAGTATGTATGATATCTTTAACATTTTAATTATAATAATAAGTGTTTTTTAAAAGTTTCTTTCACTTATTAATAATAACAACTGGTTTTAAAATTAATAAACAATAATTATAAATAATAAAATTAAATTACATGGATATGTCATATTATCCATGCAAGTCTCTTTTGAAATGAAAATTATCTATCTTATCAATTTATTATTTACTATATGTTTCACATTTTAATAATAATATTAAGTGTTTCTTAATAGTCTTCTTTAACTTATTATTAAAAATAAATAGTTTAAAATTAATGAATAGCAATTTTAAATGATAATAATATCAAATTATAAATTACATTTAGCAATAAATAAATTGTATTTTAAATGAACATCATTAATGAAAGACCCTAACTTTCGTATTTATAAAATACCCAAACTTTCATACTCGACAAAATAGTTACTCCAAAACATGCTACTTGTATATTCATAAAAACAATATTTTACATTGATAAAGAGATTACAAACTACTGGATACAAACCGACTATTTTAAAGTGTTATATATTACATAACTTCCCAGGATTCTATAGTTTTATACATATGGGAGTGCAAA